ATATCAAGGATAGTATAGTAAAATATTTTTGAAAACTATCATCACCATCAGCAGTAGCCAAACACTTAAGAAACATTGCTTATCTCTTTATGGTACAACTCTCGACTGTATACAGCCACAGGACAAATTATTTTGCGATCCTCAGAATACTCTCTTACTAAAAATTAGCAGGGTGGTTTCTTGTAATTTTGAATCAGGAAGTAATGAAAATTGCATTGAGGAGCTTGAAACCCATGGTTTAGTAAAAAATTTAAAAATGTTTTAAATTATGAATACTGAACAACTTATCTAAACAGAAAATTGCTGTTCTTTTGGCTCTGTTTTTTTTAGACCAGGTAAATCTTTTGTTATATTTCCTTATCCTGTTATCTTTAAAATAGATTTGAAGTAGAAATCCCATCATGGCTACTGACTATGAAAATCTTTTTAAAGAGACTTCAGCCAAGAAAATTTACTTTATTGCCAAGGCAATTCTGTCAATGCTTAGTATGTTTATCTACTATTCTGGCCCCATTGACCTGTTATCTTGCTTTATTTACAACTAGCTGATGACCTGGCACTGGCCGGGTATTTTTTCATCCTAATCCCCCCCCACCTGCCTCCCACGCATGAAGGCATGACACCCCTCCCGGAGGCCAGTTTTTGGCCTAGCACACCTCTCTGCAGCCAAAATGGGCCATGGGGTGCTCGCATTGCATCCCCCTGCTCATGTGTGGCAGAGACCTGAATATCAGTTGACCGGCGGGAGGCGCACGTGCATGCATGGTGGAGCTGAGCTGGGTTCGGTGTGTTACCTGCGTGCCAGGACACACACACACAAATACCGAGAGGTGTTAGGGGTGTCTTACCCCCGCAGTATTTTTTTCCAGGGAGTAAATCATCTGTGTACCAAGTTTGGTTGGAATTGCTCAAGGCGTTTCAGAGTTATGCTTCAACAAACATACATACATACATACCTCCTTATTTATATATATAGAAGATTCTCATGGAAAGGCAGGATAGATGGTTAATGCTGACCATTACACCAAATTAGTTAAAATCACTTTGTTGACATTAAACTTATTCATAGCAATAGAGCAAAACTGGTTCTTTCTTCTGCACATTTGAAACTTTTGAAGATAAAGTGGTGACCTGAATCTTGTAATATACTCTTAGATATTGCTTACAGGTCTTATACACTGTACTTTGATCATATGCATTACATACATTATGCTATTCTGTAATGTATCTTGTTTTGTCTTAGCATTTCTGATCTCAGCTAATAGGGGTTATGCAGTAAAGCATGGTTGAGCAAACTATGATTAAACCATGGCTTAGCACAATGTGTGATGTCAGTTGCAGAATTTTTGTAGACATTTTGCTTTTGTAGACATTATAGTCAAATGAATAAATATGCGCAGAACAAAAGGAACAAAGCAGTACATACCGTTTTTCCCTGAAAATAAGACCCTGTCATATATTTTTTGAACCCTAAAATAAGTGCTTGGCCTTATTGCTATGCACTCAAATTGCGATTGGGCTTATTATCAGGGGATGTCTTATTATCAGGGGATGTCTTATTTTGGGGAAAACAGGGTAATTATTGAAGGTTCATTTTACTTTATTTCATTTTTAATTTAATTGGTTATTAATTGGTCACTTACAATATCAAAGACACAGGGATTCGAAAATTTGTTTCAAGATACTTTATTGTTGAACCAAGACAACATGAAAGTCACATGGAATGTAAAGGTATAGAGAGCTTTAGACTTATATTTATTATAGATTTGTAAACTGGCCTATTGCACATAAAACTCTTACAAATGCAAGTTCTTGGCAGGGTAAACTTCTCTGCTTCTCCTTTGCTTAAGAGGAAGAACTCAAGCAAAGAAAATAATTTAATTTACACTAACTACAGAGAAATAGCATTTTAGATTTGGTCATTCTAAGCCATTTCTATAAGGACTGAATGTCCCTGAACTTATATAGCAAGTAGCAAGTGATATTATGTAGCAAGTAAGGGCTTCAAGGCTTTGTACAAAAGGAAATACAGCTGACCTAGGATATCAACATCATTGAATAGTAAAACTAAGATAGCCACAACTTTATCAAGTGTAGACCAAGGGAGACCATTTAACATTCTTTCATGTTTCAGAACAGATAGAAAATGAATATAGTAGACAGCAGTATTTGCAAGAATAACTAAAAAAATAAAAGACAAGCTGATGGTTGTGACAGTGTTACTGAAGCCCCTATACAACACATCTGTACATGTGTCAACATTCACACATGGAGAAAGCGATGGGGTTTTTATTGTGCTGTTGTGATCATCATCATCATAGTGGTTTTCAACTCATTCTGGGGATGTGGGACTAAGGAGAATAGACCTATGAAACCTTCTTAAAGGTTGTTTTCATCTATACTTCTATGTAGTATAGATTAAAACAAGGTTTTTTTTCATCTATACATCTATACCAGGGGTGTCAAACTCCAGCCTGCGGTGTGCTTAGATCTAGCCCACAGGGCTGCCCTAGAAACAGCAAAGGACTGGCCCGCAGTGCCTCTACCAACAAAAAAGGAGCTTGGGAGGGCCAGGCATGGCCCTCCCAGGCTCCGTTTTTGGCTGCAACGGCCTCCTGTTGCCCTCCACGTGCAGCTCCCACCAAGCTACATTTTCACTGGCAGAGGGCAACAGGAGGCCATCGCGGCTGTAAATGGAGCTTGGAAGCCCATTTTCGCTGCCAGAGCGCTCGGGCCACTACAAATGCTAACATGAGTGACATAAAGCTGGCTACCCTCACCCCGGCCCACGAGGTCAAACACAACCCTGATGTGGCCCTCAATGAAATTGAGTTTGACACCCCGATCTACACAAAGGAATATACTTCTAACAAAAGGCCAACATCCAATGAGGGAGCAAAGGATTTTAGAAACAAACCACTGACTTAAAAACTGGTGTGTCAACAGAACTCCGGCTTCCTAGACCATGTTTGTATTAACTACAAGAAGGACTACTGGAAAGGGATGGACTGCACCTCACAAGAACTGGAAAGAATATATTCAGAAAACAATTGGTTCATCTTATCAAAAGGGCTTTAAACTAAGATGTGGGGGGCAATCTTCATGACCTTTAGAACCTATTTCCAATGATGAAAGGATGGAAATCCCAGTTATAATGTAGGAAATATAAAAAACATACTCAAGACCCATGAAGGACTCAAATGCATATACACTAATGCTTAAAGTTTAGGAAACAAACAGGGTGAACTTTAAAGTATTAGTACACGAAGGCAGATATGATATAGTTGCCATTACTGAAATTTGGTGGGAAGAAACTTATGAGTGGAACGCACTGATGGAAGAATACAAACTATTCAAAAGAAACAGACCTAACAAAAGAGGAGGTGGAGCTGCATTATATATAAAAGATCACTATATCTCTACACAAAACTAAGGATGAAAACCTCCTAGAATCCATATGGGTCAATATAAAAGGGAAAAAATGACATTGCTATAGGTGTATACTACAGGCCACCCAACCAAGCAGAAGAAATAGATGAACTTTTTGCTAATCAATTAAAAATGTATGTAGGAAACATACCACAGTAGTAATGAGAGGCTTTAACTACCTTGATATCAACTGGGACACAAACTCTGCACAAAGTGGGAGATCAAACAGATCCCTAACCAACTTAGCTGACAACTTTGTCATCCAAAAGGTAGAGGAGAGAACTGTAAGAAAAGCTGTATTAGACTTAATTCTTACTAATAGAGAAGAAGTGATAGAGGGAGTTGAAATTGGGTGAAAGTGACGACGTCATTTTGGAATTCAATATAATGCAAACACAAGCAATAGAATATAACCCAATTAGTGTCTTATACTTTAAAACAGCTGATTTTAACAAATTCAGAAGGAGACTAAGGAAAAAAATCCATGGATAAAAATCCTAAAGGAGAAAATAACTCAAGAAGCGTGGGAAGCTTTGAAAAATATCATAAAATCCCAGTCCAACACAATACCACTAAAAAAGAAAAACAAGAAATCCAAAAAGAAACCAGCATGGTTGCACAAAGATCTCTCTGATAAACTGAAAGACAAAAAGGGTAAGTACAAAAAGTGGGAAAATGGACACATAACTAAGGCAGAATATCAGCAAATAGCCCGAATCTGCAAAGATGAAGTCAGAAAATGAACAAAGGCTTGAACAATGGGCCCTATCCAACATGAAATTTAATGTGGAGAAAAGCAAGTTTTTATACCTAGGCAGGAAAAACCAAACCAGAGGCGTAACCTGGCTCAAAAACAGTAACTGTGAGAGGGATAGCACTAGCAATAGCGCTTAGACTTATATACTGCTTCACAGTGCTTTACAGTCCTCTCTAAGCAGTTTAGAGAGTTAGCATATTGCCCCCAACAATCTGGGTCCTCATTTTATCGACCTCAGACGGATGGAAGGCTGAGTCAACCTTGAGCCAGTGAGACCTGAACTGCCAAACTGCTGGCAGCCGGTGATCAGGAAAAATAGCCTGCAGTACTGCATTCTAAACATTGTGCCACTACAGTTCTTGGAATCCTAGTGGACAATCACTTAAACATGAGCCAGCAGGGTGCAGCACAGCCAAAAAAGCTAATATAATGCTTGGTTGTATAAACAAAGGCATAGAATCAAAATCACGTGAAGTATTAGTACCACTTTATAAACCCTTAGTAAGACCACACCTCCCAGTTTTGTTCACCACATTTCAAAAAGATGTTGAGACTTTGGAAAAAGTGCAAGAAAGCAACTAAGATGAATAAGAGCCTGAAGATAAAAATATATAAGAACGGATGCAGGAATTGGGTATGGCCAATACAGTCTAGAGAAAAGAAGGACTGGGGGTGACATGATAGCAGTATTCCAGTATTTGAGGGGCTGCCACAAAGAAGAGGAGGGTCTGTTAGGGTGTGTGTAAAAAGTATTTGTTGCTTGTGCAACGAGCAGAGCAGAAACACACAGGGAAGGAGATAAAGGTGCAGCTCGTGTGAGAAAAATACTTTATATACAAGATAATAAGCAGTCTCAGTGTAGGTAAAACAGTCCAAGGTCATAAACAGTAATATCAGTCCAGTAATTATCTTCCCTTACCAAAGCAAACAGACTTTAGTAACTCTTGGTATACAGTACCATATAACAATCCAGTCTAACACCAATCAGCAGAAAGACGCAGGAAGCAACAGGAACAATCAGGAACACTCAGGAACAAAGAACGCTTCTCTGCACTGCTTGTTTATGCACTGTAGCCTAATTACAGGGTTCAGCAAACCCTGATTACGTGGCTCAGTTGTTTCTTAAAGAAACAGATATATTGCCTGACCAACAGGTTAGGAGTAAGCTACAAGCTGAACCTAACAGGGTCAATGTATTTTCCAAAGCACCAGAAGGCAAGACCAGAAACAATGGATGGAAACAAATCAAGGAGAAAAGCAACCTGGAGTTAAGGAGAAACTTCCTAATGGTAAGGACAATTAACCAGTGGAACAGCTTGCCTTCAGAAATTGTAGGTGCTTCATCACTGGAGATTTTTAAGAAAAGAGTAGACAGCCACGTATCTGAAATTGTATAGGGTCTTCTGTTTGATTAGGGGGCTGGATTAGAAGACCTTTCAGCTCTATTCTGATTGATGGTTGCAGTTGACAGCCAGCAGAGAAGGAAGATTCTCAATAGCCTCCCACCAGCCAGTACGCTCCCATAGAGAGGGGCTCCTCCGGGTGCCGTCGGCCAAACAATGTCGACTGGCGGCCCCTAGGGGGAGAGCTTTCTCTGTGGGGGACCTACGATCTGGAAAGAGCTCCCCCCAGAGATAGGGAGGATCCCGGATCTGCGCACCTTCCGTCGTGCGCTTAAGACTTCTTTATTTCATCAAGCTGGCCTGGCCTAAATCTTCTCCCCTTTTTAAATGTAAATTTTAATTTGTTTTTAAATTATGGGGTATTTTAAATTTGTTCAGCCAAATTATTTAATTCGTTTTTATTCTATTTTAAATTTTTGTATTTATGTGTTTTATCCTGTGGCTGTTCACCGCCCTGAGTCCTTCGGGAGTAGGGCGGTATAGAAATTTAATAAAATAAAATAAATAAAAATAAATCTGCAAGTTATACACGAAACCAATAAATTGTAATCTATGCCGCATGTCACTGCAGAACTGTCTACCAATTTGACCTGAACCCAAATGGGACAAATAATGCTATGCAAAATAAGCAACTTACAAGTAACTTATTGTTTTACGTATTTCATTTACTAACACAAAGCTATGCTAAAATATATTTGATTTGTACATAGCTCCAGCTTTCTAATGGAATGGATCATCCTGAAAGTATGACTTGTCAATTTTATATCAAAAACCTCACAAGGTGGAAGCTTCATGAATTGTTGCTTTGATACTTGCATATTAAACAATGACTAACAGAATTAGCTTAACTAGTTTGAATTTTTCTAATAAAGCTCTAAACAATCAAATTCAATGAACTGAAGTTCTAGGTTCTACAGAAGGTAAAGTCTAGATATTCATGCCATTGATGTGAAAGCAATGTTTATCTTGGGATCAACAATTTGGATTATGGCTCTAAATAGGTCATCAAAAATAGTCAAAGTGCAGTGGAATTTATATAAAATATCTAATTGCACAAAACTAAATTTTATAAAACTAATTATATGCATTCTTTTTTGTAGACATTTTCTGCTCAGTCCACACAGCACACATATATAAATTTTAATCCAAACAAATAGGCTGGATATACTTCTACAGTATCATGGCTCTTATCCCTTTAAGACCTGTAAAGACAAACATTCCAATAGTGCACCTCTCCCCTCACCATACAGTAGATGGAAAAATAGTACTTCTTAAATACTTTTGGACTATGGATTTTTTAACAAGACTAAAGTGATATCCTTCTGAAATACAGAACTTCAAGGATTAATTGGTTTAATAATCGTATCTCTGGACGGTATGAGTTCCGTAAAAGTTATCATTTTTGAAGGTTATCTCTTACTAGATTTACTATACATTCCATTCCTAGATTTTAAAATTCTTTACAGAAAAAGAAAACCTAAATCCCTGTCCAGTTTTGAAATTTATCTACACATTAAACATTATTTGGGAATATTCTGGATTATATAAATTTATTTGCTTCTTTATGTACCCTGTTTCTCAAGGCAATGAACAGAAATTGAATAAATGGCTATTTTGTTCTTCTATAAACACTATAAGACATACTTGATTAAAAGTCTCATCCCTGATAATAAAATCCCACTGATTTTATACAGTGAAATAGCTAGGGGCCTAAGCCGATAGGACTTCTACTGTGTAAGCTTTCTTCCACTGAATGAGAACAATGATCAAACATGTTCCTCCATAAGGCTACCTAATTCATTTCAGAGGAAGAATACAAGTGTGTTATGTTTAGTGGAGTGTTATACTCCACTCGTATAACAACGAGCTCCTCCTGAATGTTGCAAGATTAATGCATGTTCTTCCCACTGAGAAGGAACAAGAAGATAACAGCAATTAATTTCAACCTTCAAGATTTCCATTTTCTTAAAAAATCAGAAGTTTTCCATGACTTTTCTTTTAATATTGGATAAAGCCGTGGCCGGTGCTGAAAGGATTATGACATCTGTGCAGGAGGAACGCTTAAGATGATGGCATGAAAGGCATGTCTGAGAATGGTGAGTTTGTGGAAACAGAGTCTGATTTTGTTTGGGGTGTTTTTAGAATGCTTTCAGCAATTAAAGTCTCATTGGGAAATATTCTGATTTTGCCATTTTGACCTGGTTTAGGTTCCTTCACAGGTTCAAGAAACACCACCCTTTTGCCACTGCTAGCTTTCTTCTCATCTAATGGAAGATTGAGGGGTGTGTTGGAGGTTAGCATGGATGCATGAGATGTGCTATTTTGGTTTAATTGCCTTTTCCTTTTCTTTGACTTGCACTTACAAGGACAGGGCGTCAAGTAGAGGTAAAGAAGTACCAAAATAATACTGGCTACACAAGCTGCAAGAGTTGTAAAAGCAGTGTTAAATGTTTCATGTGAGTAAGATTTGTCCACTGTGAAATTGCTGACATTTATTCTTACTTCAATTGTTTCATTCAGTAATCTTTTCTTATTTATTGCAATGCAGGAATAAAGTCCAGCGTCTTCATACTGAGCATCATCTATTTCCAGGCTCCCATTATGAAATACTTTGAACTGTTCAGTTGTCTTTCCTGGCTCTAAAACTTGATTATCTGGGCTGATCCAAATAAAACTAGTCCCAGCATCACTGATTTTGGTATCACAGGGTACTATAATTCGCTCACCAATTTGTGCTTCGTGAATAAAACCAAAGGCATGGAAAGAACCATTAATGGTGCTTTCTGAACAATTTAAATAATTATTCTGCAATAAAGGCAGTTTTTGGGAGTCTTTATTACATGTGTATTCAGTCTTGAAGTTTTCCACTGAAGTAAAATGTCGAAGGTACCACAAGTTCAGCATAGAATAAAGTATGCAGTTACAATGAAATGGGTTTCCGTGAAGATAAATTCCACTTAAGTGTCGGGCTGGTACTAATCTCATGCCATTAACTGGTATTGACTGGATCCGATTATAAGAAAGATCTAAGAATACAAGTTCAGAGAGCTTGTATTTCCCAGTATAGAGTTCAATTGGGAAGTGTGTGAGAGAGTTGTAACTTAAATACAGCTTTTGCAGCGTAGGAATTCCTCCAAAAGCAGCAGAATCAACCTGTGCAATATGGTTGTTATAAAGCAACAGAACCTCCAGCATTCTCAGTTCCTGAAATATAGGACTGCCCAATGACTTCAAATTGTTGGATGACAGGTCTAGGTACTTGACATTTGGAACAACTGAGAAACTTCCAATAGAAATACTGAAAATGTTGTTATGATTGAGGATGAGGGTGTTCAACTTCTCAAGCAGCATGGGTATCCAGTCTTGATCCAAAATCCCAATTTTGTTGTGACTCATATCCAGTCTTTTTATGTGCTTGAAAAGAGTTGATGGCACCCTTGAGAGGTTTCTGCTGGTACAGCTCATAATGTCACCGGCACAAATGCAAGTGGTGGGGCACATTAAAGAGGCACTACAACATACACTTACAGTGAAAATTAAGAGGCAACCCAACCTCTTGTAGTTCCCATGAAGAGAGAGAATAGTGTGCCAAACAGAAGACATGACTGTGTTTTAGCCGTCTTCCAATTTTCCTTGCCACCCTTTAGGCATGTAGGTCACTTTGTACCAATCACTGTTAAGACAGAAAGGGAGAGAGATACACTTTTTTAAAAAAAAAAAAGGATATTAATATATAAAAGCATTAACATTTTACCATATTCACCCAAAATGCTCATAGATTTATGATCACTGCTTTTTGTTGGGATTAATGGACAGACAATTAAAAAAGAGTCACAGACAAATATTTTTATATATATGTTATCTTAGTACTCATCATTAATTGGTTCTGGGAGGCGTGATCTGGGACTACTAAAAACAAGGAGTAGCAAACAAATTTTTCCTGTAAGGAATAATGTAGAGAGTCACAAGGCAGCCAACACAGACAAGTTCTAGCTTGTGCGTCGAGTACCAAACAAACAATGAGCACCGGGACACATCAAAATGTGCTGAGTACCAAATTTGATGAGTTTCAAAGCAATTGAATACCAAGGTACCACTGTATTATCACTGTTGCAAGACCAGAGGTGAAATGCTCCCGGTTCGGACCGGATCGCCTGATCCGGTAGTGATGGCGGCGGGTGATTCAGAGAACCGGTAGCAAAAATCCCTGCACCCATCCCCCATGCCCAGCTGAGCCGCGTGATCATCAGATGCTGTTTTTTTTACTTTTAAAAGCATTTTTTCTACAATCTCTTCAGCCGAAGAGGTTGTAGAAAAAAAAATGCCTTTAAAAGCCTCTGGCGATCCCAGCTGTGTTGCCTGATCGTCAGAAGCTTCTAAAAGCATTTTTTTCTGCAACCTCTTAAGGTTGTAGAAAAAATGCTTTTAAAAGTAAAAAAAAAGTTGGTCACGCCCACCCAGTCACATTACCCCCACACACTAAGCCACGCCCACAGAACCGGTAGTAACAAATTTTAGACTTCACCCCTGTGCAAGACTATTGTTGTATATGAACAAAAATGAAAAGACTTGAAATATCCACAATAGAAGAATGGTTGATGAAGATGATAAAAGTAGGAAAGATGACAAAATTAACTTACAGACTTAGAAAAGATGAACTATTACATTTATTAGTGACTGGAAAACATTTAAGAGCCTGAGTGGCATAGGAGGCTAATGCCTCCTACTAAGGCAGCATTTAACATCCAGCTGCCTGCAATTACTGCGAGTTCAATTCTCACCAAGCTCAAGGTCGACTCAGCCTTCCATCCTTTCTAAGGTGGGTAAAATGAGGACCCGGTTTGTGGGGGCAATAAGCTGACTTTGTATAAAATATACAAAAGTAGGAAAGCTATTGCTTAATGCATTGTAAGCCGCCCTGCGTCTCCGGAGAAGGGCGGCATATACAAATATATAAATAAATAAAATAAATAAATAAATAAAAATTATGGATTTTTTTCCCTGAAAAATAAAAAGAACTTGTGATTTATGGGCTTGTCAATTAGAAAGGATAGCTTATGGAAGATAGAAATTATGATGTATCCTTAGAGAGGGAGGTAAAATATAAATGCATTTATAGCCATAGTCAAAAAGATTGGAAGCTACTTCTTTAAAATCTTTTCTTGTTTTTTCTTTCTCTACTTTCTTTTTCTACTTTCACATTCACTATTCTTCTATATTTTCTGTTTCTTTTTTTAATATTTGTATTGCTTTTATCATTAATCTTTTAAAATAACAATTATATTTAAAAAGTTTATTATCACTTTTTTTTCCTTTATGCCCATCCTTCACTCCCATGGGAAAATAGGTAGAAAATAATTATACAGCTGTCCTCACTAAGCAACTCCCTTATTCATCAATATTAAATTACTAACAATGCTAGAAGTTAGCATTGGACATGCTAATATGAGGAAATATACCTCATGATGTCAGACATGGTTGCATTCATATAGAAGGAAATCATTAATGTGGTATCTCAGATATGGGTCAACTGGATCAAACGTGTGGACTTGGTGTTCAAAATGCCAACCACAAAAAAGTTGTAGTGCTTGATCCACTAATGGTCCGTTAGAAAATTTTGGTGGTCCACAGAAACATTATTTGCATTTTTTATATTGCACTAAATCAAGGGTCCTCAAACTATGGCCTCTGGGCTGGATACATGCAATGAACGTTTGTGTTGCTGCAGAGTTTCCACCTTCAGGGTCTTTTTGTGCGGGTTGGAGGGTTGAAATATATTCTATGCATAAGTAAATCCATTTTTAAATGGATTTAAAAATGATACTAATTCATCTGTTAAAGCCTAATGCATCAGATTTATTTTTAAAATACAAAGTTAGTTTAGATCCTGAATCCTCTGAAGTGGATCATAATAAATAAATAAGGAAAAACAACAACTGAAGTATACTTCCATTTCTAATTCTTCTGTTGACAAAATCAAACAACCTTTCCAATGAGAAGCAAATAGTATTTTTGCAGTAAATGTCTATGGAGATTCTCAATTATCCAGATCTTTGGGACTATCTTTGCAGTAGTTATCATATTAGAAACCTAATTCAGTTTACTGTGATGAGATACATGATTTGGTGAAGTTTAATAAGAATTTCATCAGTTGAAATACAAATTAAAAGTGTTAACATTTGTTTTATCATTGTGTAATTCATTTTCCATAGCTGTTGTTCTTTACAATGCTATCACCCAATTGGAAAAAAATGACCTGACCATTTTTTTTCCTAAGTACTATACTTTAATGCTGTTTCATTGAAATAAATGAATTTAATGCTGTTTCATTCAAATTCCCACTGTTGCTTCTCTTTTCTACATTCAACTTCTAATCCATTTATTCACACAATTTTTTTTTAAAAAAAATTATTAAATTTCCAAAGATTCCAAAGAAACATAATACACAAAGCAAGAAAAACACACACACACACATACAAATATATATATATATATATATATATATACACACACACACACACACACACATATATATATACACATATACAACCAAAAACAAACATATCAAAATTTCAATACTAATAACAACTTTTCTGCATTGGTATCTCTAACCTATTTAACCTCTTTACACAAATTCTACTTCTAAATATCTCTATCTTAAACTTACTTATTTAAATTATCTTGATTTCTATTTACAATTCAATCTCACAACATAAACATCCCTTAAATTTTATGTTTACTCTCCAGCCAGAATTACCATTTATTAAATAGTATTCGGTGTCCTCCCTCTCCTTCATTTCCATAGATAATCTGTCCATCTCTGCACATTCATTTTTTTTTATTATGATTTGATCTGGAGGGGTGTCTGGTTGTTTCCAATTTTGTGCTATCACAATTCTACTTGCCCTTAGTATGTGTAATATGATATATTGTATACTTGTCTGCATTTTCCCTTCCAGAATACCCAGGAGAAACAGTTTCGGCTTTATCTTCTGCCCTGTTATTTCATCCAGCCATTTTTTAATCTTGCCCCAAAATTTCCTAATCTTAGGACAAGTCCACCACATGTGGTAGAATGTCCCTTGTTTGTGTTTACATCTCCAACAATTCAGAGACCTATTCAAGAACATCCTGGCCAATCTCGCTGGTGGCAAATGCCATCAGTAGAACATTTTGTAAAGATTTTCTTTATAAGCAGCTGACATTGTTAGTTTGTAATTTCTCTCCCATAATCTATCCCATTGATCCAAATTAATATTATGTCCAAAATTTTTTGCCCAACTAATCATTGTTTCTTTCACGGTTTCCTCTTCCATTTTAAATTTCAACAAAAAATTATACCTTTTTGTGATCATTTTTTTAACACAGTTTTTGATCTCATTAGTTCTGAGTCATACTTTACCAACAGTCTATAAATAAGGCCTAGTGAATTTCTAAATTATTCACCATTGTGAAGTAGGAGTTTTAAAGAGTTTCAAAATATTCTATCTTTGCCTTATTAATAATTAAATCTTTACTAAGCAAATTCATTAATGTTCCTCTTTGTGAAATCTTACAAAATCATTAATAAGTAATGTATTGAATATACAAGATAGAGGGAAAAAACCAGTTCAGTATCTCCCCTGTCATATTGTTATATATCAAAACATAAAATAACAATATGACAGGATATAGAATTAATGATTTCGTTATCTTTTCGACATTTAAAAACTTGGGATAATTTTTTTTCTGTAATGTTCAAGATAATGTTCTGGTCCTTTTTAAAAATATTGATTTACTACCTGATCTAGGCAGGAATATTAGACATAACAATCCCCTCCATTTAATAATAAAAGGCTTATGCCAGAAGAAAGAACTAATAATAATAATTTAAAATTACTTTGATATAACTGTTCCTTATCATTCAAAAACAGGATATTAGAAAATAAATGATAATCTCACATAATAAGAAAAAATAATGGTGTGCTGCTGTTTTCAAAATTTTTGAGTGGTGTTCTATTCAATACCATAGGATGATATACTAAAGACAAAAGAGAAGACTCCATTTTTCCATTTCCAAGTACTCATATGTTTGTAAGATCCCAAAATGTACTTGAGTCACCAGAATGCCAGAGAGAGAGACCCAAGAACAGGCTTGGAAAAAATAACAGCTTTTATTTGTACAAAGAAGAGCTGGGTAGACCATTCCACAACATACAAAGAGCATGCAGTGAAAGGCCACATCTTGGGGAAGGTATGGCGTCATTTTATACCTTCAGAGACATCAGCTTAGTACCCAATTCTGCCCCCCCCGGTCCAGGCCTTCCTTTGGCAGTGCAGCAAGGAACAGGGGGCTGAGAGCTTAGCAACACAAGTATTTGCCTGATGTAATCCTGTCAGGCCATGACATACCTCGCACCAGGCACTGAGTTGTACACAAAAACAAGATAACAAGAGTTAGATCACTGGTAGAAGTAAAGGCAATTCTAATTCTTACAGGAGCAAAGCAATTCTTACAGAAGCAAAATAGCAAGTTACCTATTCTACTATTATTATGTCCCTTCATTTTCTTCACACTGATAAGATACATTCTACTTACCAACAGTCTGAATTTTATAGAGAATTCTGTTTTATAAGTAGCATTTTCATTATAGCAAATGTGCTTTGATTCCCAATGTTACATATTGTATCAGG